TTCTGATCGTCGGTACATAAGATTCAAAATACTAAGGCCGCCACCAAAGCCGATAAAGTTTCGGAATAAGTCTAAAAGTAATTGGACAATGTTCGGGACCTTACTAAAGAACCGTTTAGGTCAGGACACTTTTCAATGTCGAAATAAAGAGGATATAGATGCCAAAGTGGAAACGTTCACAAGTGCCCTGGTTGAATCGTTCGAGGACAGCTGCCCTCTGCGAGAGCGGAGATCTGCCCAGGAAAAACCCTGGGTAACTGGGGAGATCCGGAACCTTGGGAAGACTCTTCGCAAACTATTTAACAGCGCACGGCGTAAAAAGACCGCAGTATACTGGGATGAGTATCGTAATAAACTTGGTGAATATAAGAAAATCGTTCGAAAAGCCAAACGAGACTCCTGGAAACTTTTCTGTGAACTGGAAGATAGCGTAAACGACGTATCGAAGATAAAAAAATTCCTATCCAAAACTCATGTCCAACCGGAATCTATGATCGATGACACGGGCAGGAAGCTTGAGGATATGGAGGAGACAATGAAACTCCTAATGGATTCTCATTTCCCATCCGGTATATCGAATAACATAGAAGAACCGATATTGGAGGAAGGGGAGGGTAACACGGAAATAGTTATTACAACTGACATGGTTAAAGGGGCAATCAAGAGCTTTGCTTCCTATAAAGCTGCAGGGCCGGATGGAATTTTCCCGACACTTTTGCAGATGGAGGCGGGACTGGTTTCCGTACATCTGTCACAGATATTCACTGCATGCTTAAAATTGGCATATACCCCAGTTAAATGGCAAGATGCAAGGGTAATATTTATACCTAAACCAGGGAAACCTAGCTATGTGACACCTAAGTCCTATCGACCGATAAGTCTTACGTCCTTCCTACTTAAAACCTTGGAACGGATAGTCGATAGCATGGTTAAAAGCAGTATACCATACAAAGACCTTAAATATAAGCAGCATGCTTATGTAAAGGGACGATCGGTGGAAACCGCTTTAAACGAGGTTGTCCACTACATAGGTGAATCTTTCGATAGCAAACTGTATACACTGGCGGTATGCATTGACATCGAAGGCGCTTTCAATAACGTGCACACTGATACCCTTATCCAATCCCTAGACCAGTTTTATGTTGACCGGGTGCTCCGTAACTGGATCAACTACATGCTAAGGAACAGATGGATAAGCTGCGAGATGTACGATATAACTATCAGGAAAAAGGTATTTCGCGGTATACCACAGGGTGGCATTTTGTCACCTTTACTCTGGGTTACCACGATTAATTGCCTCCTAAGGACCCTAACCGAGAAAGGACTTTGACCTGTTTGCTATGCAGACGATGTCGTAATACTTTTAAAGGGAAAGTATCCAAATTACTTGTGTAGAAGAGCTGAGGAGGCTCTGAATACGGCCTTGAGCTGGGCTCAACCGAGAGGCCTCAAAGTTAACCCGGCGAAGACGGAAATCTGTCTTTTCACAAGAAAGACAAAAATTTCTACATATCGAGCCCTTTTCGCAAAATGGACGTAAGCGACTTGATTATCGATTTTCGTTTTTTTATAGAAATCGATAATTTAGGTCCATTAGCATCATCTCTAAAAATTTCGTAGCTATAGACCCAATGGTTTCAACTTTAAAAGAAAAAGAAAAAAGACGTAAGTACACATTAATTTTCTGTTTATGAATTTTTTAACAGCAAAGTGTCGGTTACGTCTAAATTTTCTTTTAAAATATATTAAATTTATAGAAAAATTTTGAACAAATTAACGTATTAAATTTGTTTCTGAATGAAATGCCACATATCTGAGTATAATTGTAATAAATTCATGTAATTATCACTATGCCATTGCAATTTATGTGCTAAAATTTATAATTTTCTATAACTTTTTATGAATTTAGTTCATTCTAATTACTAATTACATTGCATTAATATTATTACCATTTAACCATCTCTTATATTTGGTTGTAAATTTGTGGATTTCGGAAGGCGGACCTGTATATGGACTCTGAATGAATCAATACTCCCAGAATTTACTTATTTATTCGATATAAGACGAATTGTACTACCATGTATGGATATTAAGGTAGACATCAGGGTGATTTTCAGAATACGGCCTTTAATGAGGGATTAGGTCAATTGTGGACCGAGGTCTATAGAATTTAAACGCGTGATTAGTTTTGAAAACAAATTGTTTTTGTAGAATTTCATCATACTTTCTTAATTTTTGAAAGATTTATTAACTGTAAACTTATTTTCTGTATGAGGGGCATAGGAAACCATCCTAAAACATCATCATACATCAAATTTCGTTGCTATACTGGTATTTTTAAGACTGCTATGGTCATAAAATCATTGTCTTACAGGGTCCATATATGCAGGCTAGGGTTAAATATTGCCTGACATTTGTCATACTTCCCAACATAATTTACAGGTATATATAACCGACTTCTGCAAAATTTTATAGCGATTGCTACATAAACAACATATTTATTAATGTTTTAACTATAATCCGGGAGGTACTTGTATGGGGGCTAAGTAGGCTTGCCAGACGTACTGTTTTCAGCAGTACGCGTACTTCTTTTTAGTAATTGTACTTTTAACTGCATAACGCCTAAAGAAGTACGCAAATGTCCTTCTTTTTAGTATTTGTACTTCTTTTTTGAATTTTACCATAATTTTATAGATGTAATCATGACCATATACAAATATTCTATAGAATCGCTATTTAAGGACTTCCGAGATACATAGTTTGAAAGTGGATTTACTAAGCTCAGAAAGGCAAATTCAGCTATAAGAGGTTTCGATGCATTTGTCGTGCATAAAATAGTGCGTTTATTCAAAATGCTTTAAAGTTGTTAAATTTTGATTAAGATATCACTGTAATGAAAGTTTTTAATGAAGTGAAGGACATGTTTGAATGTTAAAATGTAATGCATAATGCTCCGTCCTGTAGGTACCTATTCGATAGCTTTATCCAGTCCCGCTGTGGAACGATGTTTAAAAAACTATACTTCTTATTTTTCGTAGCAGGGTGGCTAATTTTTCGAAAATTAGGTATCTGAGGATGTTTGAAGAATGACAAATTTGAATAACATAGTAAAAGTTGTAACATTTTTGTAACAGTTAGAGATAGAGAATTTTTATATTTTACTGGACATTTTTTCTCCATAAAAAATATCAAACATATGTTCACAACAAATGGTTGATATTTGAAAATGTAAACAAACCAAACGAAACTAAAATTTAGGGAATTTTACACTTTTTAAAGAAAATATATAAATTAATAGCACACTAATATTAAAAAAATGATTTGTAATTGGATTAATTTTATTGTCATAAATTAGTTTTATATAAGTTTTTTTAAGTGAAAAATCATAGCAACCAATGTCAATATAGCGTTTTTAGAACAATTACATTAAATTTTTTTGAAAATAAACAATTGTACTTTTTTTATTCAATTGTACTGCTTTTTTAACTACGATGTACGTTTTTTGTTGATTTCAAATCTGGCAAGCCTAGGGCTAAGTGAAATCAAGAACCGATTTTGCCCATTATTAACACAAAACAATATTTGTCATTAATAAGGATTTTTGGAGAATTTCATCACTCTAGCTCATAACAAAAAGACTGACATACAGACATCCCTAGATGATCTTAAAATCTTATAAAAAATATTTATTACACTCTTAAATTTCAGATTTATACAAATTATATAAAGATATACACCAAAAAATATTTTTTTTAGACAGAGAATTTAGACGTAACCGCCTCAACATTGTTTATATCATAAAAATTTGTCTCGGCAAAAAAGACGTAAGCGACAAAAAAATCGGATATAGCGTCAATATAAAATCGAAACAAACTGCATCCCATATTTTAGATGTAATAATATTTATTAACGGAGTTTTGGAGTAATGCTATGTCCTACTTCGAAGATAATTGAAAAAAAATGCTCTCCTGTAAAATTTAGTTTTTGTCGGTTACGTCTTTTGTGCGAAAAGGGCTCGATATACTGAACCTTGCTTCCTGGGCAAGAAGATACCGGTGACAGACAAAGTTAAGTACTTAGGTGTAATACTTGACCGGGAATTAAAATGGAGACACCACATAGAGGATAGGATCAACAAGGCACATCGGTGCTGGGCGATATGTAGGAGAATCATATGCATGAAATGGGGTCTTAGTCCTACTATGACAAATTGACTTTATAAAAGTGTAATTAGACCAATTCTAGCTTATGCTTCAATAATCTGGTGGACTGCTTTGGACAAAAAGTGTAACATCAAACTACTACAGGGAGTTCAGCGTACATGCTGCTTGGCTATAAGTGGTGCCATGTGTACTACTTCAACCAAGGCTCTGGAAACGTTGCTAGATATTCCACTCATTGAAACATATATAAGATATGAGGCGGCGCTTACAGCCGAACGGCTCTTTACTTTAGGCGAACTGGCCAAAAACGGTTATAGGACACGTCATCAATGTATACTGGACACATTGGAAGGTTATACACATTCATCGGACGTGCCTGATCGCATACCAGACACAGAATATGTCGGAACTTTGAAACGATAATCCCAGATAGAATGTCTTGGTCAAGCGGAACATTGGAGCAAATACCAGTAGTAATCCGTTGCTACACGGATGGCTCTAAATTAGGGGACAAAGTGGGCCTTTTGGTATACAGTGTTTTTTTCAAATAGGTGTAACTTATCATTTTTTCAATTTGGCACTTCATTTTCCCATATTTTTTTTCAAAATGGTACTTTTTTTTGCTTTTCTCAAAAGAAAGCTTAAACCATTTCCTTTAAGAACTTTGTGGTCACTTAATGGGTGAGATAAAATGGACAATAAGGTCCACTGTGATTCTCGGTTCCTAAGATGGCTTCAACCTTGAAGATTTACCTAATCGATTTACTACAGATAAAGTTGTGAATCTCCTTATAAAATCAAGTCGAAGTACTCATATAACATTATTTATTTTTGCAGGTTCTGTTGCTAATGGAACTCCGGAAAATGTGGAACTACTGATACGGGAATACGATATTTTTCCACTTTTAAAAAGAGAACTTACACAAACGACAAAAAACAAATACAGCGTGGAAATATGTTTAAGAACCTTATGTTCGATATTCAGGCATTTTCCATCAACGATTTCAAAATTTTTTGACGACACCTGTACTTTACCTAACTTTTTAAGTAAGTATTCGAAGTTTTTCTTACTTTTCAGTAAAAAAATATGTAGTAAGATTATAATTATCTAGTCATTTATGAATTATAAGATTAGTTATTAATATGCTTTCAATCGCAAACAATAATTTGCAAAAAATTGCAAATCTGTTTGTAAACCATATTTTGGTAACGCCCCTCACGTTAAATTAAATGATAACTTTTTAAGTAAGTATTCGAAGTTTTTCTTACTTTTCAGTAAAAAAATATATAGTAACATTATGATTATATAGTCATTTATGATTTATAAGATTAGTTATTAATTTACTTTCAATCGCAAACAATAATTTGCAAAAAATTGCAAATCTGTTAGTAATGCCTCTAACGTTAAATTAAATGATTTGTGTTATAAATAATGGATGTTTAGAGGAAATAAATCACGTAATACCATTTAAAATATGTTATAAGCAGGGTTTGTATTTTCAATATGCCTTTATGCTTTACTATAACTATGAGAACATAAACAAGCAAAGTCAAAAAAACAAAAATAAACTTGTTTGCTGTAGTGGTGCAGTGAAATGTTTTCTGCTTACGCAGCACAGTGGTTCCAATGGCAAGCTTAGCACGATTAAAAGCACTTAGAAAGATCAAAATTTGTATGAATATGTGATTTCGTATGGTGCGATCTCGTGCTAAAAATGGGCGGATTTGATTGGGTGGGCGTGGCACCTTTCATACAAAATTAACTGACATAAGGCGCTATACTAGTGTTTAAAGTTAAATTATTTACCTTCAAATCATATTCTGAAGTGGACTTTGTGTGGTGGCTAGGGTCAAATAAATCCCGATGATTACGAAAATGAGCAGTATCATTCAGATTTACATATGTATATAAAACTATGTTGTGCTGATTTTTGTAGATATATTAGAATGTTTAACATAATTTTAAGCTCAAAAGGTTTATTCGGGGAGTACGGTTATATGTGGGCTAGGTGAAGTAATGGACCGATTTCGTCATTGGGTCAATATAAGAGTATGATCCAAAATTATCTTGAAAATTGCTATATGTAGCATCGCACAAGGTTTACACTGACGCACAGATGGGCGGACAAACGGTCATATTGGTGATTCGGAACCGATTGGAATACTTGAAGGTGGGTGTTGGACCAGTATTGACGATCCGTAAACATTTTTGTCGCCCGAATTTTCCTTACTAGGAAGAACGAAAGATTCGATTCTTTTAAAGAAAGACTCGAATACTCTCCTTGTTCAATGTACCAGATACCATTTTATCGACAATTGGGTAATAATATTTAATTTTTAATTTTTTCATCAATTCTCACAAAAAAATTAAAATGCAACAGTATAATTTTTTCCTGGGTCTCTTGAAAGTACCAAACATTAAACAATTCACATAGACAACCAAACTAAATTATTTGATATGAAACCCAGCAAAATCTTGCTTAAAATGGATACCATTAAGTACTTTATTAATGACTTACTTTGTAGGTAAAGTCTAAAAAAATCAAAATAAAGAAACAAACAAAAATAAAACAGTTACTTTATCTTTTTTCCTTTTTTTGTGCACTCGATTTGCTATTTTTAGACAAACAGAAATTAAAATAGTATTTGTGTGTGAAAACTATTATTTAACTCACATTAAAACAGCTAAGCAGTGGTGAGCGGAGCATTCAACTGGCAGACGGAAGGTACTGAGTTCAACCCCAGTCTGTGTCGACATTTTATTTTTTCATAAATATTCTATAAATAACTCTACTAAAAAACAATTTATTTCCAACCAAATAACATTGACTTATTTTGGAACATCTCAAACAAAAATAAGTAATTTTTCTAGTAGAATTATAAGCACTTTCTGTTCTGGTGATTTTTCTAGTGAATTTGTAAGCAAATATTTTGCTGGGAAGCTTTCAGGCAGAAATCGGCAGGAAATTTTTTTTATCACTTAACTGACCACAACATAGATGATAACGACATACAACATTGAGCTAAATCGGGTTAAAATCACAATTAAAACTCTAACACATGTTTTAATACAATTAAAATTGTACAATTAACGAATACCTCTTAGTTTTCACGTACATATTTTTTTCTGAACGGAATGCAAAATCGACGACATATTAGGAATAACTAAAATACATACCCCAATTGTATAAATAAAATTCCCAAATAATGAGGAATATATTTTAGCTTTATTTTACAAGATCTCCAAATCAAACAAAAATATTGATTATTCTATTATTAAAAACAAACTAAATTAATAATATTGCAGATATAATAAAAAATTGTATACCGGTATGTAGGCTAAACTTGTCATTGGGACCACCGATTAATTAAGAACAAACTTCTGTTTTTCTTAGTGCTTTTGTTTTACTTCTTCTCTGCGCTCTTTTACTTTGTTCAGAACTGCTGAGGTTGTTTTGGATTTGTTATTGTAGAATGTATTGAATATTCTCCTGTAATTGTTTTTGCGTTGTATTTTTGATAAACAAATTGTTTTTTTATGCGGAAATAACCGTTTTAGCGTTTTTGTTGAAAGTATGTACGTGCTTACATACATACATACATACATACATACATTCATACAGACACAGACATACAGACAGAACATAAGACTAGACAGAATACATACATACATACATACAAGACATACATACAGACAGACAGACAGACAGAAAGACATACATACATGCAACATACATACAGACAGACAAATACAGACACATACATACATACATACATACATAAGACTAATACATACCGACATACATACATAGGAACTACGTACATACATACATAATACATACACATACATACAGCATACAATACGTACATACTACATACATACAGACAACATACATACAGACATACATACATAGATACACATACATAACTACAGACATACATACATAAACATACATACATACAGACAATACAACCATACAGACAACATAACATACATACTACAAATCTACTAATACTATGTACAAATACTACATACATCATACAGATACATACATACATACATACATACATACATACATACATACATACATACATACATACATACATACATTACATACATACATACATACATACATACATACATACATACATACATACATACATACATACATACATACATACATACATACATACATACATACATACATACCATACATACATACATACATACATACATACATACATACATACATACATACATACATACATACATACATACTACATACATACATACATACATACATACATACCAATACATACATACATACATACAGACATACATACATACATACATACTACATACAATACATACATACATACATACATACATACATACATACATACATACATACATACATACATACATACATACATACATACATACATACATACATACATACATACATACATACATACTACATACATACATACCATACATACATAATACATACATACATAAATAACATACATACATACAACATACATACAGACATACATACATACATACATACACCATACATCATTTAACAAAAACACATAAAAATAAAACGGTTATAACATAATGTCGTCATCCAAAATACAACGCAGAAACAATAACGGGAAAATTTTCCAACATTCTACAATAACAAATCCAAAACAGCAGCTCTGTACAAAGTAAAAGAGCGCAGCAACAGAAAGTACAGCAAAAGCATAAAGAGAAATAGAAGTGCTGAAATGCTGCAACACAGTAGTGATTAGTTGAAATTAATCGCTGTGACTGTGTTAGTAATTTTAAGCAAGCAATATAAACACTGGTTAAGCGATTTTCAGTCCTGGTAGTATTTCTAATTCCCTATTAAATTTTCTATGACTTTTACTAGTACACTCCCGCCTCACTTAAATAGGTTCACTGTTTTCTTTACATTCAAATTAATATTTTGCAAAAAATAATGGACTCGTTGGTTATATTAAAATTGTAATTAATACCATGATGTCTTATATATCACTAGATAGACAAACATTAATGCAATACTTAATAACCGATTTTTAATAATTTTTTTTCTAAAATACTACGTTTTTGAACAATATTTTTTTGGCTCATTTGAATAGGTTCATCATCTTTAATTGACAAAAACAACAACAAATTGAATTTTTCATGAAACTTTTTTATTTTTATAAACATTTTTACAGGGTTTTAGAAAAGATTTACTAAGGAACATATCCGCCGTTACTTGATATAACTCCGAAAATTCGAGGTGATAAAGAGTTATAAAGATTCTTAAGTAATGGCAAGGAAATTTCGGTCCAAGCCTTTTTAGTTCCTTCAATTTAGGCTTCTTTTTTGTCGTACCTATACACATTACGAGAAAGAATATCGGAAACCTTTTCGATAATAAATAGTTGAGAAGATTATTGGAAAAAGCTGTTTCCAGTATGGCATTACAATTATTACAATTCTTACTAGATGAAAGAAATTTAAGCTCACATGTTTCATAATATGAAATTGCTCCCCACTACATTCCACATCCTCCACAGCTATGCAAACGACTCAGGTAGAGCTCTTACTTTCAAAAATCATAAAAATAATGATTATATCGATCTGGACCTTCTAAATTAAACATTTTTTCATCCGAAAAAACAAGATGTTGATATTGCTTTTTATAACCATGTGTTTACGTGCAAACTGAAGAGGATTTCTCTTTGCGAGTGGCAATTTCTTAAGCCTTGGCCCTTCTTACAATTCGTTGTACTGTAGCTAGACTTGCTGTAACACCCACGTTTTCTCTATTTTTTGCTACAGAATCACTTGACTTGGAGGCAAATTTTATGAAATCTCTTTTGTTCGCTTTTGTTTTGACTCTATATGTAGTTCCATTTATGTTTTCTTAATATTCAAATTTTTTTCTTATAAAATTGGGAATAACATTCTGAATTTGTCCAATTTTTTGCCATATTCCTGTTCATTTGGACAGTTTCCAAAAACGCTTCCTTTTATTCGTTAGTTAATG